ATTAGAAAAAAGCTAATTTTTTTTTTTTTTTTTTTTTTTAAACCTCTGTGTTTTTTAGGAGTTTTGCTTGTTTGTTTTGTTTTATGAGGAAGGCTCTCAAGTAATCCTGGCTGACCTCAAACTTGGAATCCTTTGGGCTCAGCCTTCTCAGAGCTGGGATTAGAGATGTGTGCGGCCTCCCCTGGCCCTTAATTATTCTTGTATTACTGTTGTTCCTGTGTTCCTCCCCTCATCCTCCACAGCGCTTGGGAATTAAACCCAGAGCTGGAGCTCTGTGCATGGTGGGCCAGCACTCTACTTCTGCACCACATCCTTGGTCCCTGGGTTTATTCCCTGTTTTAGATCTAGTTTATGAGGGGTGTGTGTGTGTCTGTCTGTCTGTCTGTCTGTCTGTCTGTCTGGTCTATGTGCAGGTGTGTGCATACCTCAACTCATGAGGAGGCCTGGCTTGGATTACAAAGCAAGACTCTTTCTCAAAAACTAAGAGGCTGAAGAAATGGTGCAGCGGTCTGGACTTGGGTCTCAGCACACATGGTGGCTTTCAACCATCCAAAGTTCTAACTCCAGGGGACCTGATGTACGCTTCTGACCCCCATGGGTACCTCGAACATGTGCTCAGGCGTACATTCAGGCAAAAACACTCACATAAAAGAAAATAAATAAATCTAAAATCTCAGTGCTCTAAATTAAACATTGTAACTCAATACGATCCAAAAATATACTAATTTTATAATTTCATGCTTGGGAATGATGGGAAAATCTTAAGTCTTTGTTTTCCCTAGTTAAACTATTATGTTCCCATAAGATCTGAAAATTTTGTGTTAGGGACACTGTAGTTCATGACATGCAGAGTCTCCAACCTAAGCTTCAGCCAGCTTAGTGGCAGATAAGGCACCAGGCGGCAGTATCGCTGCAAGACTCCACCAGCAGCGTTGTCAGAGACACCTTGGCTTCATGTCACATTTGATTTTGAATTAATTTTTAGTGACAGCACATTCAGAAGCCTTTTACTCTTCTGCTTCCCACTATCCTACTTATTTACCTGACCCCATATAAAGTCACAACCTTTTGAGAAGGTTTAAGAAGCTAGAAGCTGGAGAACTGGGGAGGCCCGACTTCAGTATGCTGATTTATCAGTCTGTGTTTACTAATTTAAGTGGGGATTTTTGTTGTTGTTGTTGGTTTGGTTTGGTTTTTTCGAGAAAGGGTTTCTCTGTAGCTTTGGAGCCTGTCCTGAAACTAGTTCTTGTAGACGAGGTTGGCCTCAAACTCACAGAGATCCCCCTGCCCCTGCCCCCTGAGTGCTGGGATTAAAGGCGTAGAGCCACCACCGCCCGGCCTAATTTAAGTGTTTTTAAGCGTTTACGGGGAGCAAGAGACTTGGTGCAGCCGCCCCCCCCCCCCCCCCCCCCCCCCCCCAAGTCCAGCCTCACCTGGCACGGTTGTCCCTGCTGAGCTAGGTGCTTCTTGTCTTGCAGTGAATGTGGTGGAAGCTCTTCAGGAATTCTGGCAGATGAAGCAGTCCCGGGGCGCCGACTTGAAGAACGGGGCTCTGGTGGTGTACGAGATGGTCCCCTCCAATAGCCCTCCCTACGTCTGCTACGTCACTCTGCCTGGGGGAAGCTGTTTTGGGAGTTTCCAGGTAAGAGCGGCGAGGCCAAGTGTGTACCGCTAATAAGGATTTTATTGTCTCTGCCCGAAGTCACGTGGTTGAGCCGCCAACTCTGGGCAGATCTCCTGGCAAACACAGGAGGCTCCTGAGACCACAGAGGATCCTCTTCAGCACTTTCTTTCAGCCTGTAAAATCTCAAACCCATCTCAAACTTGAGCCGTTATGATTGTGCCCTTTTTACTGTGTCGGACTCCCAGCGCCTAACCTTTGCGTTAATCTGACTTTGACGACTGCACTCCAACTTCCTGCCATTCCTTCTTTTTAAACTGTGTATGGGTGTTTTGTGAGCTTGTATGTCTGTGCGGCACATATGTGGAGTGCCCAGATAGATGGTTGTGAGCTACCATGTGGGTGCTGGGAAACAAACCCGAGTCTGCAGGAAGAGCAGCCAGTGCTCCCAACCACTGCTCTGATTTTATTTTTAATTACATGTGTATGTATGTGTCGGTGTGGGGGGAATGAGTGACTGCAGGAACCACCGAAGCCTGAAGATGATGGCAGATCCCCGCTGTTACAGGTGGCTGTAAACCTGAACTCAGGTCCTCTGGAAGAGCAAGAAGTGCTCTTAACTACCCAGTCATTTTTGTCTAGTACCTCTTCCGTCCTTTTATTCTTTTTAAGATTTATTTATTTATTATGTACAGTGTTCTGTCTGCAAGTTTGCCTGCATCCAGAAGAGGGCGCCAAATCTCATTATAGATGGTTGTGAGCCATCATGTGGTTGTTGGGAATTGAACTCAGGACCTCTGGAAGAGGTCTCCCCACCCCACCCCCACCTTTTTTTTTTTTTTTAAGGAAGTATTTCATGTATCCCAGCCTGTCCTCAAACTACGGAGTTAGGGACAATCATGTTGAACTGCTGATCCTTCTGCCTCCATCTCGGAAGTGCAGGGATTATTGGTGTTGCACTATCACGCCCTATTTGTGCAGTTCTTGGGGACTGATCCCAGGGCCTCCTGCATACTAGGCAAAACCTCTTCCCATGAACTACAGCCTTCTCCCCAGGTTGCATTGTCCTAAAAGTTTTCCCACCGCTGCACAGACACGGAAGACCAACAGTGGTGACAGAATAGCTTCTTTATAGGCCAGTGAGAGGTGGGAGGCAGAAGAGATGGTTTAGCCACCGTGAGCACCTGCTGCTCTTTCAGAGGACCACGTTCAGATCCCAGCACTCGCATCAGACCGCTCCAGGGACCTGATACTCTGGACAGCCTCTACAGGCACTCACTCTTGTTGTTGAGTGTAGTAAAGTCCTACACTAGCTCAGAGTGGAGTATTATGTAGGGGTAGACTCACAGATCAGCAGTCCTGTACACAAGCAGGGAACAGGAACCGAATCCAGTAGCCAAGGGACTGCACACGGTTTTACATCTGTACATATAGTACATGTGGCCATGCCTAGAGTGGGCCGATATCTTAAAGGCTATTGGCTGAAGGAGTTCCCACAACACCTCTCTCTCT